TTCTGAGGCATATCTACTGAAGAGGCTTCATATTTTGGTTGTTTAGTAAAGGACAGAAAACCAACCCAATTTTAAAGCATCTTCTGCCTCCTGGTGTTTGATGATAAGCATTGGCTTCATGCTCACAGATTGGGCTCTTTACTGAGGGTGCATTCTCAATGGATTCATGTGGTCCTATTTTCACTGGATGTGAACATTTGTGTAACGCTGCAGCTGAAGCAGATGCAGGAAGCAGGATCCAAGTGCAGCAGTGTTTTTTTTATGAAATAAACTTGAACTAGACAAAGATTCAGACTATAGGGAACTGGATTCGTGAACATAACAACATAGAACTCACAAAGACTGAACTAGACACAGGGCTTAAAAACAAAGGCAAACAAGCTAAATAAGACAACAAGGGGGCATGGCTAATCAGAAACACCTGGGAAGACTAATAAACAAGAAAAACTACAAAGGACTACAAACCATGACACAGAACAGGAAATAACAAAAGTCTACACAAGACAAGGGGAACACAAGACAGGAATCACAACAAAACCCACACTGACAATTTGAATACCAGTACTACAAAGTCTATAATGAAACTATGTCTATCCAGTGAGTGAAATCTCTTAGTCCGTTCCAGGGAAATCCCCGAGTCTGTTCCAGTGAGTAAAATTTCTGAGTCGATTCCAATCCTCACCTCATGTTCCTCACCCCATGTCTTCATCAACACCTTGAGAAGATATGTTTCTGTAATACAGCCCCCTATTGAATACAACACAGCTTTTCTAAAATCATGCCAATACTTAACCTCTTAACACGTTTTGTTTTAGCACATCTGCCAAGTCTGCCAAACTTAAAGGGTTAGTTCACCCAAAAATGAAAATTAAGTCATTAATTACTCACCCCCATGCTGTACCAACCCCGTAAGACCTTCGTTCGTCTTCGGAACACAAATGAAGATATTTTTGATTAAATTTGAGAGCTGTATAACTACCACATTGGCTCCTATTAAGGGACTGCCTCTTGACGGCCCAAAAAGTCAATGAAGAAAATGTTTAAATATCCCAAGTGACTACCGTGGCTCAACTATATGTTTATCAAGCGACGCGAATACTTTTTGATCGCAAATCTCACGCATGCGTCGTGGAAATCTAAGGAAGTCTCGTTCTGGCCTACAAGGAAGAAAAGAAATAGTCGAATAAACTCGTTATTTTTGTTTGTTTTTTCGCACAAAAAGTATTCGTGTCACTTGATAAACATATAGTTGAGCCACGGTAGTCACTTGGGATATTTAAACATTTTCTTCATTGACTTTCTGGGCCGTCAAGAGGCAGTCCTTTAGGAGCCAATGTGGTAGTTATACAGCTCTCAAATTTAATCAAAAATATCTTCATTTGTGTTCCGAAGACGAACGAAGGTCTTACGGGGTTGGTACAGCATGGGGGTGAGTAATTAATGACTTAATTTTCATTTTTGGGTGAACTAACCCTTTAAGTCTGTGCTCCATAAATGGGACTGAAATTTGATGTTTAACATCTGCCGTTTAGATACAATCCCTGTCTGCTTTGTCAAACATTTATAATGACATGCTGTTTTTACTGTGACAGACAAACAAATGATTGTCAACTCTAACATCAGGCTGATTAAGCACAGTACCACAATAACATTGATGTAATCAACTGCAATACAATACTTGAATGTTTTCTCTTTGAAACCATATTTTATATTTTTCAAAGAGAGATCACTTAAAAACATTTAATTACATTTCACAGCACAGTTTATACAACTTCTTTTAAACAGTGTGTGTGTGTGTGTGTGTGTGTGTGTGTGTGTGTGTGTGTGTGTGTGTGTGTGTGTGTGTGTGTGTGTGTGTGTGTGTGTGTGTGTGTGTCTGTGGCCATGTCCATGAACTAAACTGCTTATAAATCAAAAATTTTTTTTGAAAATCTACAAATGCAGAAAGTTTTCTCCTCTATCACATTCAAGAAATGGTATACAGTGTCACACTGCCCCCTGGCCAAGTAAGGTAGTAATAACTTTGCAAAAAGGCTCTTATCAACATATTTCACAACCATATGTTCTATGTCAATTAAAATTTTTATGTTTTTATATTTACCAATGTTTAATTTTTATAGTTGCATGCCAATTTTGTATCTGTGGGCTAATCTTCTTTATAGACACCTTGTAGACACATTTTTAGCTTAATCGAAAGTTTTTTTTTATCATGTTTTTGGATTAAAAAAAAGCTGTGCAGGTCAGTCAAAACAAGAAAGGGGATCTAATTTCAGCACTCAGGGCTGTTGCTGAAGGGGTGAAAGGTGGTGTAGATTCTAGGGGCCAATGGCTCTGAGGGCCCCCTATGGCCCTTGCAACACTTTAATATTAAACAAAAACAAAGAAGATAATCCAAACTGAAGAAAATCATAGGGGAAAACCACATGGCAGCATAAACAATTCAAGATGAAGAACTGAACAAACTGAGGGATTTATTTACACATGGGAAAACACTAAAAGAAACAAACAGGTAGGCTAACTAATTAAACAGGTGCGACACATGAGGGAAATGGCCAAAACCATGGTAACTAATGAACACATACAAAGGAAACTGATAGGATAACAACTCCAACAATGAACAACGACAAACCAACTCAGGTTCTGTTTACACCACACCATTTTCAAAGAACGTTTTTTCTTGTGTGTGTGTGTGTGTGTGTGTGTGTGTGTGTGTGTGTGTGTGTGTGTGTGTGTGTGTGTGTGTGTGTGTGTGTGTGTGTGTGTGTGTGTGTGTGTGTGTGTGTGTGTGTGTGTGTGTGTGCGCGTGTTTTGGCTGTTCATTTACACGACAATGGCATTTTGGGGGCCTAAAAACGAATATTTTGAAAACGGGTTTCAAAGTGCAAGTTTTTGAAAAAGATACTGTTATCGTCACAGTGCACAAAAACGTGAATTTGTGAAAACGGCAAAGTCATGCGCAGTTTGTGAAAAACATTTAGTTTTTCTTTACAAAGTGACATTGCTAACTAACAGCCTGGCAGCAGAATATACACCAGTTTTAGTCTTTTTCACTGATCCGCGTGAACGGGGATGATTTTGACAACGTTGTCATCCTTACGCGAAAAACGGAAAGGAAACACTTCCATCGTTGTCGTGTAAAATGTACCCTCAAAGTCCTACAGGGGTGTCTCCCTACAGAAACACAGAGCAAAAACTAAGCCCTGACAGACACTTTAGGAAGGAAGTTATTTAAACCACAATACACCCTATTACCATATATGAAAGCTCATTTTCACTTCAGAGTAAAAAAGAAAAAAAGTCATTGTGAGGACTTAAATAGCCTACGATATAAAAACACATTGCAAAATAAAATTTAATTTTGCCTTTTGGGTTTCCATTTATTCTGCAGTTTGCATTTTGATTGATGTAATCTAAAATTGGACTGCATTGCTTGTAACCTGTTGTAAAAAGCTTAAATAAAAACAATAATCAAAACGGGAGAACTTGTGTGTTTTGTGGTATAATTATGCAGCATTAGCCTTCCTCTCTGTGAGAATCTGAAACATGCATCACCTTCTCTACTGAGATCTAAAGTCAGACACATACAATACTGTATGTAAAGAGGCAAAAACCATGCATGAAAATAACCTGATAAAAAGAGAACATTTTGATCTAAAAAAATATAGTCTAAGTCTCCCATATGTGAGATGAATGTTGTAATTCAGGCTGTTGTATTCTCTTATTACAAAATATGTTTTCTATTACATATGGGTGAGTATAGTGCACTTTAAAAGTGTCTTAAAACTAGTGTGGAGCTCCATATTAACTGTTTTCTGTCAACAAATTGTTAAAAAATGACTTGACCAGAGAAAATGTGGAATTGAAGGTTGTTAATATTTGATCTCTTTCACACCATTGTAAATATAATAAATATGTATCTGAATGTATGATGGTATATTTTTAATTCAAAGTACATGCACATTTTTAAGATTTATTTGTAAGATTTTAGTATTTGCACAAGGAAAAGATAAATAAAACTTTGGATTTAAGGAGTGTTTTTGCTCCCAAATGTAGAAAGTAATGTTGATTATTGGGCCTATAAGATAATAACCGAGTGAAATTCATCCAGTTGGTCTATGCTAAAAGCACGTAAACTGGCAGTCAACATTTATGGAATTTAAGCTGCATGTCACTTCAAAATGTTTAACATTTTGTTTTTAAAAATATTTCCAATCACTGTAATTTGGCCTGATCTACATTTGTTCTCAGGTAGCCATGTTTAGGTAGCAAATTATTGTTAAGCAATTTGCAAATGCAACTGGAAGGGCAGCATTTACACAAGAAAATAAACATAGTAGCCTATTGTAATATCAGCTGATATTTTTTTTAAATTAATTAATAAGGGAAACCATGGTTTGTTGTCATACACAGTGAATATTTCTCACGATTTCTTTTTAAAAAGTCAACAAAAGCTACAAAAAGGCATTTAAGCTTTGTCACTTTGCTCAAAAATAATGGGAACCTGCAGTATAACTGAAAATCTTTATAGTGAATATAGTAAAACAGCCATGAAAAAAAAAAAACAGGAAAACAGGTCATAGAAAATATATGAGAATTTTCGCTGGAGAACATACTTATCATCCATATTCTAAAGTTTTTGAATAGGTTTCAGGCAAAAACATTTCTGAAAAACTTTGACTTGACTGAAAACCTCAGATAGGAGTCAAAGTTGTAATTATATAGTAATATCTAAACATTGGTCTGTCCTAGAGTCAACCACAAAGCTGTTGAAAGAAAATGCATAATGAAGGCTAAAACTGTTATTTAAAAAACCCCATACATCTTAAGTCAGTCGAACACAACCACATGACCCCATGGCCCGAAAGGAGACCGTGTAGACCAGCCGACCGGTCCCAGTAGCCTACTCTAGTCCATTCCGCGTTTTGCAGAAATTCTGTGCGTGTTAAAAAAAAAAAAGAAAAAAAAGAAAAGTCGCCTCACCTGCTGAGCGCTCCAACATATCACTCCGCGGGGTCAGTTTATATTATTTTTATTTTACACTGGCGTTTGTAAACAGGCTAATATATTATTTAAAAATACATTCTAACGCTATTATGGATGATAATTATGTGCACTTCTAAATGAGAAGATGTCGTTCCTTTGAGTGCCGTGCCTAATGTTGTGGCACTATTTAGCATGGTGTCGCTCACAGTGCGTGATTCGTTACACTCAAATATGGCTACCATGGAGTGCAAGCTACAACTTTAATATTTGTACTAATGCAGAAATGTAACGTTTTACTTCATTCCTCGATCTACAGCCGCGTGTAATTGTCGTCTTGTACGTCTACAAATTGTAAATACCCAGGCAAGGATACCATCTCGATGGGTTTAGCGTTAATAAAGTATAGCTCGAAATTTGCAGCTTGCTCCGCGAGCTGATCGAAATCGTCAGGATTGAAAGCGAAATCTGCTTTCGGTTTTCCCTCAATTGGGGATATTTTTGGGCTGTATTTCTCCGAATGTGTCCAGAGATCGGCTCCTGTCATCGCCTCGCAGGAGCTCAGATAGCGGTCGGTATGGCTTGTTTTCGGATGAGGGATGTAACCCGCGAGGATTTGGCGATGTGGGATGAAGCGGAATAAAGAAAAGTGATCCGTTCAAACCGAAGGAAATCGGATGCGTTCTGCCTATGGATTAAACATTAGAGTTTTTCTGTGGATTTTACTGGAATACGTGTTCAATATCGCCGAAGATATCGCTTTGTCACGCTGGCTTATTTTCCAGAGGAATAGTGGTGTATTCCTCCCCAACCCCCCCAGCGCCATCCACAAACACTAAACAAAAGTACTATATGTCACGTATATGACGGTTCTTGTCATGAAGGAAATAAATAAAAATTGCTAGGGTCGAAAAGGTAAGTAAATATCGTTCGACGAGTGTGTTGTGTGTGTTTCTCGTCACCATTTGCGAGTGCTTTTGTCGTTTCTGTCGCCTTTCTGCATGCGAACACTTGATTTCGACCGAGTGTGCAGCTTGTACTCTCACTAGCCACTACATTAACTCTAAAATCATTCAAAAGGTGTTAAAAAACGTCCTGCATCTTTACTGTCCACTGCCTTTAATGGCCCGTTACATGATTCCCGCATGGATGTGACTCTCCAAGCTTGAGTAATGTTTCCAAGTTAATCAGCCGGGCTGCAAGGCCTCTACTGTATCCACTTATAGCCTTTCTTGCGCATTTACAGTCATCTTTCCTCTGTAACACTATCACATCTAAGTTGGCACTACATTGCACGCGATGATCATCTTCCGAGCGAGCATTTTTGGACATCACCGATACTTTGTATGCAGGTAGGTTTAGCCTTTGGACTACCCTAAAGAGTGCAAATCCGCCTCTCTCATTTAAAGTCGCCGGCTTGTCCTTGTTTTTGCCCATTCTATAAAAAAAGTATTAAGTAGGGACAACGTACTTTGTATTTCATGGCACGATGGTATTATTGGCACCCTGTGTATGTAAGGCTCTGAAACACAAAGCTCTGGAGACAACTGAACAAAGGCAAAAAGCTGGACATGCCCCCTCATGTGAAGAAGCACTTGCTTTGTGTGCTTCTGTTGTTTCAGTACGGCGGCTATCCCCTGGTTCCTGTATGTGTTGTGTTATTTAATAATTTCCTCATAAATATATATATATAGGCCTACTCTATATAACTTTAAAAGAAGTCCTCTATAGGCTTAGAATTTTTTTTAGATAGATTGTGGCTATTTGTTTTTACTTATCTCACACTTAAAATGACTATTGTTGGTGTAACAGTGCAGTCAAGTTGGTTGAGTCATAAAATATTTTTTTGCTTGAATTTAACTAGTTAGATTAGATGTTACCACATCAATAACTTTTTTAGGGAAATGCTTGCGTAATAGTTTATGTAGATTAACCCTGGTGAGAAATTGCATAATATGCAGGAGTATCAAGTGTAAACAACAGCATACATTAATGCAGTTATATGACCCAAATATAATGCACATGTGAATGCATTAGCTGGTGCTGCTACCATGTTGTGTGTCAGAAACACCTGTTCATTATCCTTATGTCTAATTAACAGAAAACTTTAATTTGCATGTAGAGATGCATTTGTAAACTACAATTCTCAAAATGAATCTTAAAGACATTAATACAGCTGTGGTTTAATTCTCTCTTTTTTGTACTCTTTTATAATTTCCTTGTATTACCTCCATCATACTCTGTCCTGGAAGCTTAAGAAAAATCCTTGCAGATGTTAACCGTGGGCTGATGTCGACTATGGACTCGGCCCTTCAGATCCATATGTTGATACTTTCTTTTCTGTCTCATTTGCTTCAAGTTGACCAAATAAACATTTAGCAGATGTATGCATTTCTAGTGTTTTTCTTCTGTGAAAAAGTATTGATGAGTCATTTTGCACACAAGGGCGTATCCAAATGTGTGTCCAATCAAATGCACTCTGGAATGATAATGTTCCTCCCCTAATATTGCCTACACTTGGCTAGCAATAGCAAATAATGCTTCTCAGCTGTGACTTAAACTAAAGCCTATTGGCTGTTTGCAATTAGGGGATGTTTTCTTCAATATGCCCTCCCCCAGCTTCCAGTTTAAAAAAAAAAAAATCACTTGCCACAAGGTTTTTAAATGGCCACCACCACAGACAATGTGTCTGTACACACTAATGGTAATGCGCACGGCCTCACTGAAGGCTTGACTCAACCATGTGAGGTCTAATTGTTTACTCAAGGCAGGATACAATGAGCGCAACCAAGGGAGGGATCCCACGTAGTTCCCGGAAAAGACAGCATCCCGTTGGCAATATGCCTTGTCAGCTGAGTGGACAGGTTGGCAGAAGCACCACGCAGAGCAGGCACAAGGGTCAGCACTGGGGATCCGGCAGAGCAACAACTAACAATATGCACAACATTCAGAAAGAATACAACAACATGACCGAAACATTGGTCTGTCAGTCTGTCGCTTTCAACTGGTTGCTTTTTATCGGATTGTGAAGTCCAATGCTAGTCAAAAACATTAAGGAGATAGATGGTTTTTTTTAAGCTAAACTTTCCCTTTAAAAATGGCATAACTGATAGTGATTTAAAAAATAATATTTGCCACTCTTAAATACAGGTGGAAATGTGTGCTAAAAATGTGTCTAGCGTAGCAAAAAACTTAATAGGATTGTGTGAATTGATTTTATTGGAATTAATAAAGTGTGCTAACACTTGTTTTGAATTTTAATGGAACTTTTGCGGAGTTGTGAGTTAGACTGCACGGTCCACACTATGAACAAATCATACAAGCTTATTAAAATATAGGTTTAGTATTAACCTCAGGGATTATTTTATCCTCCTGCATTACCAGTTTTTTTATATAATCAGAAATAAAACCTCACTGGTTGGAGAATGTTGTCTTTTGAAGGTGTAAATCTGCTGCTGAGCTGGAAAACGTGCTATGTTGAAAGCTTTTCTGGAAATGTACATTTTTTTCAGCCTATAGGATAACATACATTTATGATGTGATATACTTATTTGTGAAAATAATGTTGTATGTGTTCACATCTCTTTCACAGAATGTCATCAGAGGAGAAAAGTCTGGACCCCTCTGACAAAGGACCCTCGCCACCTCCTAGCAGCTCTGGGGCCACTCCCACTGGAAGTCCGGCCCCCACGGATAAGCGGCCCCGGGGCCGCCCTCGTAAGGACGCATTATCCACGGCAACAACACTTCCATCTGTGCCCAGACAGAGAAAGAAGTAAGTTTAATTCAACTTCTGAGGTGCTGTTTTTATTCATCTGAATAGCGATCTAAATGTCTTTACAAAGAAATGTTGATTATTGGTCATATAAGATACGGATCTTATGAAATTCATCCAGTTGGTCTAACTCTGTGTCTGCTGGAAGCAATGTAAACTTGGCTGTCAACATTAATGGCATTTAGGCTGCGTGTCACTTTTTTATCAACTACGGACCAATCAGTTTTGAGTTTGTGTGTCTCATTAAAAAAAAAAAAAAAGGAAATCTGTTGGTGTAAAAATAAAAATAGGTTATTTTTTTAAGTAAAAAAAAAAAATTATCAAAAATCATAAAAAGTGTGTGTTATGTTTCAGCATGGAGCAAGGTGGTTGAAAGGCAAAACATTGCTGACATTATTTTTTATTGAATTATTATTTTTCCATTAAGATGACGTTTCCGTCAAGTAATGCTGACTTAAACTTAAAATCTGTGATAAACGCCAATAATTCAATAATACTGTTAAAACGAATCACAAAACAAAGACATTTTCATTCTGTACTTAATTTTGTGTTGCCTAAATTCACTTGTAGCATTTAAAGGGGTCATGAACTGGCTTTTTAATTTTTTTTATATTGCTTTCTGAGGTCAACTTATGACGTTCGCTAGGTTTTTACATTAAAAAACATCAAAATGAATAATAGGCTATTTTCTACCCTAGTTTTGAGCCTAGCTCAAAAAACGCTTGGTTTTTATGGGCGTCTCGCATTGAAGACTTAGAAGTAAACGCCCACTGCTGTGAGTGGATAACAGTTTTGCATATTATAATGAGTTTCACTCTCGACCCGGTTTGTCATCACGAGGTAGGCCTATGTTATTTACCTATGTGTGTAATGCACGAATCGGTGGGCGGGGCTAAACTGGCCTTGTTGAAGTAGGCGTTGATCTTCTTCTGCGGGGGTGGTGTTTTATCCCTCTTTGACGTCATAGTTCCCCACTTTGAAAAACGAGTCATTTGCTGAGCCTGGTGTCAATAAAAGCTTTTATTGGACTAACCAGGGGGGCGTTTCCCGAAGCATCGTTAGCCAACTATGGTCGCAAGTTGGTCGCAAAATCCATTGAACTCTATTGTTAACGATGGAACTTGGGACCATAGTTGGCTAACGATGCTTTCTGGAAACGCACCCCAGGACATTTTCAGTTCTGAAACTTACATGATATTCTTTATTATATGATGACCTCTTAGATGTCAAAAGCTCAAGGAAAATTGGATTTCTCAGTTCATCACCCCTTTAAATGGACTAATTTTGTGTGTGCTTATTTTTTATTTTTAGCTAATTGCTATTAGCCAGATTCTCAAAATCGGTGCATAGTCTGGATACCTAAAAACATTACACATTTTATTTCAGATGTATGCTACAAATAACATAGAAGGCTTAGCAGTGCAGCACTTCGCATAGAATGCACGTTTTACGGCACGATGGGCGCTATCCATGATAGACGTCTTTGTTGATTTATAATGGGAACGTTCTAGTTTTGATGCACCGCTTATGTCCAGTGTAGGCATGGTGTTAAATTTTGATTCATGAAAAGCCCTCCTCCTTCTAGCCCTCCTTCTTTAGCTTCATGCACATCTGCTCTGATAGCTCTCTCTGACAGGCCGCTTTAAATGACGGTGCGTTCAATTAACCCCTCTGAGCCCTTCAGCTATTTACCCATAAAACACATTAAAGAGAAGCACCTGTTTGCCTGACTGGCATCTTGATCCAGGATGGAACTTTAGGCTAACCAGAATCCATTGAATGTACCGAAGCAGTTTTTGAACGGTAATCCTGGCAGACTTCCTCTGTTTCACAACTGCATTTGAGAAGAGTAGGTGCATCTTTCTTGACTCAGATAGCAGTCTAAATGGAGGGGAGGTGCTTGGCATTTTTCCTGAGGGGATTAATTATATAGTAGTCTTTGAAATGAAAAGCACAGGTGCCTCTGTCAGCTTAGGAGCTTTACTATGACTGTGTAAGTTGTGAATGTCAGTGGGACAGTCTGATGCAAGGTGCTTTCATTAATGTATCTCACAAAATCATCTTCTTATAGGGATACTCCACTTTTTTTGGGAAATAGTTTTACCGTTTTCGAATCCGTTCAGCCGATTTTTTTATATTTAGAAGAATATCAGTAACCAGACAGTTTCTGGTCTCACTGACTACCATAGTATATATTTTTTCCTACTATGGAAGTCAATGAGACCAGAAACTGTCTGGTTACTGATATTCTTCTAAATAAACGGTAAAACTCAACTGTTTAACTCTGGGGGAGTGGTAAAATGAGCCTATTTCCAAAAAAAGTGTAGTATCCCTTTAAAAAGAAGAAATCTCCTAATACATACCATTCAAATGTCTGCAATCTGTTCTTTTGCTATGGTTCTTGCATAAAACAGTTGAAATAACAAGATTTTTGCTTTTTCTGAAGACATTGCTAGTGTTGTGCATCATAGCTGTCCGCTCGTTTGTTTTTTGGTTGTTTATGGTTGGCCAACGTCACAACTTGAGGACATACACTACCATTCAATCGTAAATTGGGGTTGATACGATTGACTGAGGTTGCATTTATTTGAACAAAATACAGTAAAAAGAGAAATACTGTTTTTCTATGTTAATATATTTTAAAATTGAACTTATTCCAGTTATTTATCATTTTCTGCTACAATTTTTTAAATGGAAGTGTATTAATATAAAATTCATGTGGTCACATCATCACAGTTGTGCTTATGCCAGCTATTTTACATCAACATTTAAATATGGATAATTTCATGTTCATAAATATTTTTTTTGTGTGAAAGTCTTTCAGAAATGTGAAGATGTCAGACTTGTGCTCGATGTCCATAAACTTCCAAATAAAAGAAACTTGAAATTTATTTAAAATAAGGACATTTTGTTTGTAAGTGAGGTGTGTATATATAGCATTTTCCACGCTCAGAAACCGTACGTCATTGAAAAGCGCATTGGCCATCTAGCCTGGCTGCGCCCTCCTACGCACTTCCGCTCAATTTCATTTTACTTCAGTACTACGTCTGGGATCGCTCCATATCCTTAGGTTTCCAGAAACCATTTTTTTGTAGGACCAATCAGCGAATAGAGGGAGTGGCTGAGAAAGATGACGTTGATGCAAGCGCGTCAGTTTCAATTCAGTAATGGCAGCGGAGAAAGACGTGAGAAAGGCTATTCAGTCCGTTGTTGGAAAAGAAACTGCCGAATATACAGAATTTAAAGCCGGATTGTTATCGTCTAACCTCTTGTTGCACAACTGAGGACCAAGTGAAGGAGGCAGAAAGTTTGGAAGTTTGTGCTGGGCAGTTCGTGCACGATGACCGTGACATTTTGGACGGACGGTTTAGCCTGGTGTTCGCGGTGTTCGGAAGCCCCGAGTCCTGGCTGCTAAACTATTGTTGAAGATCCGCTCAGGAGTCATGTCAGTCGCTCATATTCCCAACTGTAAATTTACTGATTCTTGTGATGAATAGAACATTTTGAGCCCCTTTGTGCACTCGTGCAGGAGGTTGGTGTGTCAGTTTTACATGTTGTAAATCATACAAATTGGTTGTGATTTAAAAAAAAAATAATTGTCATAAATAAAAATGTGAAAAACCATACTTTGAAGATATTTGATTTTCAGTTTTAGATGGCAATGGTTGATTTGTTTTACTAAAAAAAATAAATGCCACATAAAAATGTACAAACACATACTTTGAAGACCATAATTAAGGTAATTAAGAAACAATAAGACGTAATATGAAAAATTGTTGTTTATTACACATCTGCAGATAGAGACAGACTGATCATTCACTGTAGCTGCTACAGCATTTGCGGCAGATCAGAAACGACCACAGCGGCGTATTTGTAATGATTAGACACAGCTTCCACTATTGAACGAATATATCACTGTCCTTCGTGTCAAATATACATTTCGAATTAATAATTGTTCCTAGATTAACAAAACCTGCGGCGCTCGTTGACTGAAATCCTATTGTAAACATAATCCTCTTCGGCGCGTGACATACGTCACTCACGACACCCCGTTAGCGATTGGCTATGGCAGATCGTGAGTGACTTTGGGCAGATCCAATAGATTTGAACTTTAATAGTGAACCCGCCTACAAGGAAGGAAACGTTTTTCAATGGAGCGGTTCCAGACTCTATGTGGAAATGAAATGAACTAGAGTCTGGTTGAACCAGGCTATTGGCCATCAGGACCTGGAGGAAAAACATGGCTATAATGCTTTGCAAAGTATATAAATAGATCACTTAAAAATAAATTATAATTCATGGTTATGTAATACCTAAAAAATGGGTTACATTTCCAACAAAATTCAGTGACTAGTGATATATACCTTAACTTATATAAAATTGCTTTGCCATAATGTTTCAGTCATACCACCCACCCCCTATACCTGAGAAAAAGCTGCCACCATGATGCTATGGTATTGTAGGTGGTTTCTATGCAGTTGCTAAGGTAATACAAGGTTGATGCTTTGCTTACTAGCCCAAGACAACAGATCCAACCCTAAAGAATAAAATTCCACATTCAATGTAAGTCTATGGGATTTTTCACTCGTCCACCAAGAACTCTGATCACTATAATAGCTCAACAAACCACATATTTAGAGGTGTCATCCATGTCTCTACCACAAACAGTGCAGGACAAATGTTTTTGGTTTGTTCAAATCCTAATAGAAATAGCGAGGCTTGCCTTGGCAAACACCGCAAGTAAAGGAATTCTTCATTTGATTGTTTTCCATTTTCTTTTGTTGCGTACTTCAGTTTAGTGGTCCTCTAAGGATTTAATTGAATTCGGTCCCATATTTTTGAAAGGAAACCATCGGATTGGTTTGCTTCACAGAATCCAGTCTTTGAAATCCATTGCATGAAACTCCACTCCAGGTATTATACTGTACTTGTGTGTTGGCTCTACTTTCCAAAACAGTTACACACACTCTCTCTCTCTCTCTCCTTCTCTCTCTCTCTCT